TTTCATAATAGCTAAAATTCTAAATATTTTAGATTCCAAAATAAATTCAAAGTTACACATAAGATTTTAATAAAGTAGCTACGAATAAAAAGGATTTACATTCCATAATATGTTTCAAGTTACATATAGTTGTAAATTTCAAAGCATTCACAATGCACAATTTTTCTACAACACCATCTTGCTTGAGACACCTTTTCTTCTTTCACTCCTCCTCGGATCTTCAAATTCACCTTATCTTGGTCTTTAATTTCTCATTGCTCTAACTCCACCAATCTACCTGTCAAAAAAAATTATTTTTAACACCACGAGGCAAAAATAACTGATCATATATGTTTAACAGATACAACTGAATTGAAACTTTAACACAAAGATATAAGTCCAGTTAGTAAAAACATTAAAAGAATAATTTCAAACAGACAATAAACATGTCTTGATAAATATTTTACAAGAATTTCTAACAGATAACAACATGAAAAAATACAAAGCAACAAAAGAAGTAAAAAAGAAAATTTTGAACACTTTTTAAACAACTTAAATTATCTTCATCCCAAAAGGGCAGTCCGCTGTACCAAACTTCAGCTATGAGCGGGTTTAGGGAAGGGCCGGACCATAAGGGTTTATCTACGCAGTCTTAAACTACATTTCTGCAAGAGGTTGTTTTCACGACTCGAACCCGTGACCTTCTGATCACATGAAGGCAACTTTACCGGTTACGCCGTTAAATTATCTTCATCCCAATTTTGTAATATTGTTTTTCTGTTCAAGTTCTCAATCACTAATCAAAAATAAGATACAATATCTATCAAATTGCTGGAATATTCCACAAAATTATACCCAAAAATCCAAGTGAAGTAGGTATAAAAAGATTTACAAGCCCTAAAATATAGAGATATGAGCTTACCTCTTCTGCCTGAGAATAGACAAGTGATTGGGTTTTCTCTCGCTCTTCTTTGTTATTATCGGTCTCCTTAGTTTAGCCGTGGTTAAAGAATAAAATAGAAAAAGATTTTGCTTTGGGCTTTGTCGTTTCTTTACTTCTTGTTATATAGATTTTTGCTTTCTTTTAATTTTTAATAAGACACGGAATGCATTAAATGCAAAAAGTGTAAGTGCTAACAAATATAAGTAATACTAAAAAACTAAACCAAAAGGAATAATATTATAAATACTTAATTTATAATAAGTAACATAGAAACAATAAACTATTTAAATAAAATGAAGGTACCTTTTTCTTTACGGCTTCTTTCGTACTATATGATATTATTAGTTTGTTGTATGCTCCTATTTCACTTATATTAATTTTAAAATATATTAGTGCTTAATTAGATTTATGATAGTAATTATTAAGTTATCAAAATAGCATTAGAATAATTATGCATATTCAAACTGAATACAATTAGTGATCAATGTAAATAAATACAAGCACAAAGTTAATATTTATTTAAATTATATTAGAAAATCACAAGTAATACTTTGTTTAGTATGAATTATGATATACTAATTAATTTTTTAATAAACTCCTTTATCAACCATATTAAATTATCAGTGTTTTGATAGAACCTAATAATATTAAAATTATTTAAGTTTATAAAATATCGAATAATAGTCGTAAAAGAGACATGACCCCTTCTTGTATATGAATTATATTAAATTCTTAATTCTTTGATTCGGTGTATAATAAATAATTTATTGTACAATATAATTGATATACGATTATATTTGTTTAAATTCGATGTTATAATTAGGCATGCACACAATAATGGTATATAGTTTCATTGTTTTGTAATTATAATTGAAACTTATATGTAAGACTTGTTTAATAATAATTATAAAATAAGAGTTTTTTATCGACTTAGATTTCAACCATATTAAACTCTTAATTCTTAGTCTAGTTAGATATAAGAAAATTAAACACTTATAAACTATCTATATTATGAAAATCTTACGATTACAGCTCTTATGACTCATAAATTAAAACATGAAAGGTATGAGGTATATCCATAACTAAGTATATTAAAACATACTTATTACAAGAAAAATTAAATTATAAATAAAAACCTTTTATGTATTTACTTTCATGAAATCTGACAAAGAAAATAAATATTTTTGTTGAAAACTTGTATTCACCCAATTGACTAAGAAAGATAATAAATATATTTTGATACATATATCATTCAAGACTCATAATACGAATATCTCATTTTTATTTTAGTTTGTTTATTTATTCATTTGCTTCAAAGTTACTTTAAATTTACTTAGTTGGATGAATTCACTTGTGCAATATTTTTATTACATAGGAGGTTTAAATATTTATAGAAAAATAGGAATAACATCATTACATGTAAGAGTTTCGACAGATAAACCTATTATGCAAAATACACAAAAATTCTAGTCTTATAAATAATAATTTGTATTAATTTTTTATTTAAGATTTTCAAGAGATACATATTTTAAAAAATATTTATTAATTTCTAATCAATGACATGAATAAAGATTTTCAACAAAAATATTTCTTCTCTTTTCAAAATATCATAAAAATAAGTACATAAAAAAATATTTACCATTGCAATTTATCATTATATTTTAAGAAATTAATTACAGATATACATCATAGAGGGTGTAAGTATAGAATTCAATAATATATGGGATACAACAACAACAACCGTATAATCCCACTTAGTGGGGTCTGGGGAGGGTAGTGTGTACGCAGACCTAAACCCTACCCTAGGGTAGAGAGGCTGTTTCCAAAATAGACCCCGGCATCCTTCCCTCCAAGAACTTCCCACCTTTGCTCTTGGGGAGACTCGAACTCACAACCTCTCGGTTGGAAGTGGGGGTTGCTTACCATCGGAGCAACCCCTCTTGTCATAATATATGGGATATAAGTTTAAATTTAAAATACAACAAATGTATCTGAAACTGATTAATACTATAGGAGTATTTTGTGTAATAACCGGAAAAATTAATATGAATAATAGTGTTTTCAGCAGAAATTTCTATTTCTATTTTCTTTTTCCTATTAGTTAGCAAAAAAACCAACGAAATTTTTTGTTTTTTATTACAAAGACATTGCTATTTTACTATATTTTTTTTCATTATAGTTTTATACTGTTTAGATTCAATTTTAAGACAGAAGATTATTTTTCATCCATTTTAATCTTTGTTAATTTCAATTTTAGGATTGAAGATATTTTTCGCATTTTAATTTTTGGTATTTTAAAATTTAATTAATGTTTTAATTTATATATATATATATAGACACACACACAATCTTATTTGTCTATGAAATTAATTTTTCATAACCGAATATTTCTAGACCAAGTCTTGTCATGAATTTCATACTCGAAGCAAAAATATTCATCTTTAAAATATTTTAACCTTACAATGGTGACCTCAAATGTGCGATAATATAATTATAGTTAACTATAAAATTTTATTGATATTTTGAATCAATCACTATTCATTTTTTTCTTGATAAAAACTTGTAACTATTAAGCCAACTATTTGGCATTTCTTTCTAACTTGAAGGAAAATTATCCATTAACTACCGGATTGTGTTTCAATTAATTTAATAGTTGTAAAATATTATTATTGCTACAATAAGTTTCAATTCGTGGTAAAACTTTTAAATAGCTATGAATTTTTGTCATAGTGATAAATCTGTGGTTTATCTCATTTATGACAAATAATTGTTAAGCAAATATAGCAACAGTATATTTAGAACTTAAAGCTAAATTATTTATTCAGATACAATATTTTATTTTAAATAATTTATTGTGATTAAAAATTAGTTTTGCTACAGTAAGTTTTAGCATGTTGCAAAACTAATGATTAGCTATGAAATTTTATCATATAAAAAAATCTGTTGCTATATCATGTCTTCATGTCAAATAATCGTAGCTTTTAAATCAACTATTGCCATGATATTTTATAACTAGAAGCAAAAATATTTATTTTAGTTACAATAATTTGTTTCGAAAAATTTATTGTAGCTAAAAGATTATTGTTGCTACAATAACTTTTAATGCGTGGCAAGAACTTATGATTAGTTGCGAAATTATATCATAGCAATAAATTTATAGCTATTTAGGTAAATTAGCAACCATAGCAAAAAGAAGGAATTAGCTTTGTCAATTTAATTTTGTGGCTAAGAAATTATACAAATTTGTAAAAAGCCACGCAACTCTAATTTTTGTGGCTATTGTTAGGTACTAGCCACAGAATTTAGATTTGTAGCTGAGATTTCGTAGCTATAAATGCATTATGTTGTAGTGACAATAAGTTTGACGGTAACCTAAACCCTAGTTCCACTTTTGCAATTTCAGTGGCGGAGGCAAAATTTCTGCTAAGGGGGTTCAAAAAAGTGACAAGTGAGAACTGAACCAACAACCTAACAAAGATTTTGAACCCCCTTGACCATTAAGTTATACTTTCCGGCAATATCAAAGGGATTAAACTTGATAAAAACTTGATTTTACCTTATATGTACCGTATAATTTTCCGGCAACTGCATGCATGGACCGCTACTATATCTAATACCCTCATGTTCAATGAACTATATACCTACCAAACCAAACTGCTAGCTCACAGGTAATTTGGTAAATTGTCCTTATATACATAGTCTAGCCTTTTTCCAACCAATTAGAAATAAATAGATGCACATGTTAAATGACTTACTGCATACCCTTTTATATGTGGTTAATTTTTTTTTAATATATTGACAGATTTGCTAATATCAGTTTTCAATCACTCACACACACTCTCCTCTTTCACACACACCAGACAAAAGGAATTTGGGAGAAGCTGATCTACATGTCCTCGATGTTAACACCAAAATTACTAGCACTAATCTTTAAAAATAACTTTTCCAAATGATTTTCACGAAAAATGATTTTCATCGTACGCTCAAAGTAGTATAGTGAAATTTTCCTTGTCACCACAAAAGGATGTGGTGCAGTGAATGAAAATTATCTTCCCTTAACTAAAGGTCTCGGGTTCGAGCCCTGGGTATGAAAAAGTTTTGGTAGGGAGCGCTTCCCCCTAAATGAGGCCTTACGCGGCGCGAATCTAAATATAGTCGGATTCCAATATGGATATCGGATATCAAACAGAAAACCAAGAAAAAAAGGGTTTCCTGGTCCTTCAGCTCCTTAAGCTAGATTATCCACTTTTTCTTTTCTATAACTACTCCTTGCAATCGATTAATTTGAGATTTGAAGACACAAGTTACTTCTTAAAAGAAAATTGGAGTATTTCTCGATTTATATGTGTCATCCTTGCACATGGACCATGTTAATTAATTTTTTTGTATTGTTCCAGTTTTATCGAATTATCCAAAGGGACTAGACACAAATTACATATATCTACACGTTTATCATCTGGAATAATCTGTAACCCTAGTTTCCATGCAACAGCTAGGGCTACAAGTCAAAGACATCACACAAAAAATGAAAAAGACTCCATGCTTACCCCAAGCTAAGCAAAAAAAATGTATCTATATAAAGAGAATCCTTAGCATAATTCAAAGCAAATCATATATCCTCTTAAACTTACATCCCACAAAAAAAAAAGAGAAAAAGAAAATTAAAGAATGTTGAAGCCTCAGCTTCATCAAACATCACAATCTACAAAACCCCTAATCCCATGGAGTAGTACTAGATCATTCATTTCTGGAGAAATCTTAGCCTCTTTTCCCATCAATATTTTAAATAAAAACCTTACACAAAATCCAAAGAAGAATTATAGGGTTCATTATAATGCTGCAAATAGCACAAAAGCTGTGCTTAGTTCTACTGAAAAATCTACTAGTGTAAAAGCAGTGGTAACTGTTCAAAAAACAGTTGGAGGCACTAACTTATCTTTAACAAGAGGACTTGATGATATTGGTGATTTGCTTGGTAAAACACTCCTTTTGTGGATTGTTGCAGCTGAGCTTGATCCTAGTAAGTGTTCTCTTTTTCCATTTTTTTTCCTGTACACGGGTTGGAACAAGGGGCAGATCCAG